AACGGCTAGAACTGTATTCGACAAACACTAATCAGCAAGTCTCATATCAATAAGAATCGAATGTTTTTTTTATGTATTCAAATCGGCTCAACGGCGCTCCCGATATTGTGGACGAAAAATTGTGGACACACAAAACACATACACACCTATCGATTTTGTCTAAGGTAATCCAAAATATTCAGAAACTTCTGGAACGCAAAGATATGCTAAAATATTCAATTTTGATTTTTGGACGAATAACTTACCGTTAAGCGGACGATGAAAAGACGTAACCGTGATCTAAAACCGCGACTAGGAATAACAAATATGTTCGAGCTAGTTAAGAAACAATCAAGCACCAACGGGATATCAAGAAGTAATACGTACATAGAGCCCGAAAATTAGGAAACTAGTTAAAGTTTATGGACCAATGAACGTAGCAATTCGAAATGTGGATGTACTTCAAATTAAGACGACACAATAGACTCTACAAAATAGTGCAACAACAGAGACTTACCACTTACAAAGTGACCAACTCTGTTAATAAACAATAAATTGTTGCATCATTGTACGTTTCAAATAGAACGAGGTTCGACCTGTAGTTTTCATAAGGAAACGCGGCTGACCCAAGTAGAAATTATTGCTACAATAAAATGCCACGAACTCTATGTTGGGACGACAGCAGGTTCATAGGGAAAGTACGTAGTATATATCATATTCAGAAATAAATCAATTAGTTATTATTAAGTTAACTAGATACTAGTAGACACAAACGCATCCATTTGGAATTAACCCGTACAATAACAGTATAAAAGCAGCGCAGGTTTAAATATTAAGTTAGTTAGGTAATTGTTGTCTCTTGTACAATAATACTTAATTCTGCTATTTAAAACCGATCTGATAAAGACAGTAAATCCCGTAACCTGTTATTACCAAAACCGATCTGGCGAAGGTAATGATCTGTCGTAGATCGCTACTACCACATTCCGATGTGGGCACAGTTATAGTATATCTACTACCCTTTTCTGAGAAATGTGATCTGGAAACGATAGTATTCCAAGTTTAATTGCCTCTATAGTTCTTCGCCATTTTGATCAGGAAAAGGTAATAATGTATCTATAACATTTGCTATCTAAAGCCGATCTGGAAACGATAGCTATAAAACGCTAGATCATAGGTGGGGAACCTGAGGCCTCGAGGCCGCATGCGGCCTCCGGGAGGTTTTTGTGCGGCCCCTTGCCGTCTAGTACAAAATAGCAGAGTTACTTTCAAACAACTATTATACAAAAATCCCACCAAAAACAGTCATATTGTAACATGACATCAGATTACTAGCCTGAAAAACAGACTCTTAGGCAGATACGAAATAGAGATGTATTATATTATATTAATATTATTTAATATAAGCAATATTTTCGATTTCGCAAGACATCGCCTATTATATGATACAAGAAGTATTATAAAAAAAATTAACAGTGCAAAAAAATTGTTAGCACCCGGGTTGAAGATTTTTATGCGTATCCATAGTAAAATGATAAAAATTTATACTTCTCGCAACCAAAAGCAAATCCGTAGCTTTGGCGGAGACCGGAGCAACCAGATTTTACCTAGATATATTGGCAATTTTATGAGACCATAGTTATAAAATGACACAAAACTATACTTTTTTTCATAAAACACAAAAATATATTTTTAAAATTTGGTGTCTAGTGGCAAGTTACTGAAACTTTCCGTACTGAAAAATACATTTTATAAAAAGTTTTAAATTTTTTTGAAATATGATGAAAATTAAGAAACTTTTTTTCATATTTCTATTTTTTTTGTAAATTATTAACTTTTATGTATTAAATTTATTAAAATTAAATTTTATTTGAATGATCCGATTCCTATTGATAGCGAGACGTGCTGATTAGTTATTGGCCAAAGCAGGTCCCAAAAATAATAATTCAGTTTTTTAAAATGGAACGTCCAATATCATTAAAAGAAATTAACATGTATAGACAAAACGGAGAACTGATTAAATTTGTAGGCAGGTCTAGCGGTTTCGATGGTCCAATAAAAAATTTGAAAAAGAAACATTTGGCGGTCAACAGTGATCATTAAATATATACACATCAAATTATCATATATTTTAATAATAAGTATAAATTTTGTTTACATTTTACTATGGGTTCTGTATCATTATTTATTCTGCGAGGCGTTATTCTGCGGGGCGACGCATACGCGCTTCTTTATTTTGTCTCTACGCAGCTAAAGCAGGGCGATCGCTTTAAAAACAGTTCTTTTTTATTTTAATTTTTTGTACGGGAAGTTCCAGCAATTTGCCTTAAGGCACGATGCCAAGAACCACTATTTATAGTAAGTAATGCGTAATAAATTTTCTGCAATTAAATAGCAAATAGCAAAAACTATTTTACCTAAAAATTCAGGGATGGGGCGGCATTTTTGTCAGTGCCCAGGGCGCCAAATTTCTAAATCCGCCCCTGCGTATTTATATGCACATAATATATAGAATTTATTTATATTTAAATCTTGAAATATGAATATAGAGTAAGGTTTTTGAAATGAGAACAACTTAAATGCAAAATATAAAGTATCAATACATTTTGTGCATAATAAATACATATATTAATTAAAATATTTCTTTCACGTGCATTATTATGAGTTTATACATTATCAAAAAATACGCTTATTTTTATGGGTGAACATTATCATTCTCTAAATGGATTAGGTACATCATTTATTAACAATATTTTTTAAATTATATTTTTAAATGTCTGTCAATAGTGTCTAATCTAGGTATATTTCTTTTGGCAAGAGGTAACGTTGCGTTTAATGCATTAATCCTATTTTTTATTATATTTATAATATATTTATAATTTTATTATAACTATTGTCCTTAATGACAGAAGGAATATTTATACCGAAAGTGTACAAATGAATTTAATCTGGCTTTTCCAAAGCCCGAAATTCCCTAAATTAACCGTTAACATCTTAGTTTGCAAAATAAAAATCTATCAGTGAATTCAATGGTATAAGAATAATATATAATTTCTTATTTCAAATAATTATGTAACAATAAGAATATGAAAATCAATTTCAAATCAAAAGACTTTAATATCATTTTTATATAAAAAATGAATGTTTAAATGAAATTAAAACGAACTAAAATATTTATAATTCATTTGAAATTTAATTTATAAAATATTTAAAATTTTTAAGTATTTTATTTACTTTTTTCTATATAATGCAATAAATTGTTAAAACTATAAAAAAATTATAATACTTTCACAAAAGTCACTTTTTTAGATCAATCAGCTTATGCGGCCTCTTTTATTGCTGCCTAATTTAAGTGCGGCCTCTCACGGCAAAAAGGTTCCCCACCTCTGCGCTAGATGTAAATTGTTATTTTGAATCCTCTAGAATCTACGTTAAATATAATTTATTATGTTTTTCACTCTATTGATGAGTATTTGAGTTATAATTTTCAGTAAATTATTCTGTGAAAATTAGATTAAGATTTTAAGTGAACATTTGTTTTTTTTAATTATATTTCATTTAATATAGTATGTATTATTAACTATTAATTTAAGTTATGTACCATTGATATCTATAATTGTACAATTGTGTTGTATAAATATAAATGAATATATAAATAAATAAATAAATAAATTAATTAAAAAAAGGCTAAAGCGTTTTTTCTACACCGATTACAAAAATGCATGTTAAAAAATTAAATATTGGACATTTGTGTGCCCAGACTGTCCATTTACGCCGACTTGTCCGCCTACGTAGTTAAAGAGATCAGATAACTAGCTGTAAGCGGAATTCTGTCTTAAGGCAATTAAGGCATCGTGCCTTAAGGCAAATTGCTGGAACTTCCCGTACCAAAAATTATTTTTTTAAAAACGATTAACATTTTTGAAAAAAATTTACTTCGAAAAAATTAGAGAGAAACTATAAATTTGACAAAAAATTACTTTTTTTGAAAAAAAATTTTTTTTTTGAAAACAAAATTTTTTTGAAAAAAAAATGTTTTTTTCATTTTGACATACTTTGGAAATTCTGAACTGTTTTTCAAAGCAATCGTACTGCTTTATCTGCATAGAGACAAAATGTCAAAGCGCGCAACTGCCGCGCCGCCGTCTAACGGATAAGCATTGGTACGGAACCCATAAAAATGTAAAAAAAAAATATACTTATTGTTAAAATCTTTATAAAATATCTGATAATTTGATGTGCATATGTCTAATGATCATTTTTGACCGCCAAATGGCATTTTTTTTTACTTTTATCATTAGATCTCCGAAACCGCTAAACCTGCCTTCATGAAAATTTGATCAATTCTTCATCTTGTCAATACAAGTAAAATGTTGTTTGAATTATTAAAATCGGACGCTCCGTTCTCTTAAAAACTGAGTTACCGTTTTCGGCACTTTTTGCCCCGTATCTTTGGAACGGCTGGACCTGCCTTCGCCAAAAACTAATCAGCACGTCTCCTTATCAATACAAATCGAATGCTTTTTGAATTATTCAAATCGGTTGATCCGTGTTCCCGAAATCGTCGACGAAAATTTGTATCCGCACATACATACATACATACATACATACATACATACACACACACACACACATACATCCATTTTTTCTAAGGTATGCCAAAATGTTCAGAAACCTCTGAAACGTAAAGATATATAAAAATTTTCATTTTCGATTTTTTTGCGATTTCTATAACTTGCCCTACGGGAAGTTAATAAAATTTAGAAAGGTATCATTAATTTCTGGAAATTATACAGAAGATTGTTCAAAAGTTGTTTGTTTGATGTATTGTTGTGATGTAGTTTGTTTCGTTTTCACATTATAATTAGTAAAAGTCGGATTGGATATTCATGCGACGCACTACCTATCGACTACTAAATATAAACGCAAATAAAAACACAAAAATATTAATATTAGCATAATTGAAAACCATAATATACAAATATTCTTATATCAGTGATTCAATTTATTGTAATACTCACTTTAAAAATTTGACGACACAAAAAGTTTTCCTTAACTGGCAGTAACCTGAAAAAATGCAGAAAACGTAAATTTATTATGTGATCATTAGAAATTATGAGATTATTAATTTGATAAATTACATTAAATTCAAAGCAGATATTACCAATGTGTAAAATATATAAATAAAAAATCTTGCAAATTATAATGCAAAATTATTAAAACGGCGCAAAGGTGACAATCAATTAAGAAGCCGTAGATTTTTTTTGTGGCAATTATTTGTTAAGACTAAGTATATTAGTGGGGTCAAAATTAATTTGATCAGGTTGCTTTCTAAAAATACAATTTCACTTACTTGGCCATTTCAGAGAGCTGAAGCCTTCCATCTTTATTCGCGTCAAATACTTGTAGCTGGCAAAAGTGTGTTTGCAATAAGTGTAAAAAATAATATAAATATTTTTCAAAAGAATTTCTCATTTTCAAAAATATAGGTGTATATTACAAATTTCAAATTTGATTTATATTAAAGTGTTAAAATTAAGCTTAATGCTATGAGCTTTATTTCTCAAATGTTCTAATATCGTGTAATAAAATTGTATATGGAATATTTCAAAACTAAATTAATACATTGAATACCTAAAGAACGCACCAGTAAACCACAAGATTTAAAACCACGTAACTCATTTTGTAACATTTGTTACGAAACTAATGTTGGGTAAAAGATCGATGCTATAATGTATAACTTTTAACCGTCGTCAACGCGTATATGACAATATTATAATATAATACCATGTGTTCATCTGTAAATAACACTGCTACGCGAGTAGCTGCCGCTACGCGGCGTGTTACGTGGCGCGGTCACATAGATTTGGCTTTGAAAATAGCCAAGCAGTTGGTTTATGATCAAAAAGTCAAATTGAGTATATGTTAACTTTGAGGGCTTTGTGGACGCAGTATTTAATAGTTTTCTGTATATTTTTGAAATGCAAAATATTTCATTAATTGAAGCATTATGTGTTAATAGTTTTTATATTTAGTGTATAATAAGTTGTGGAAATTAGTTAAGTAATTAAAAACGTAATATTATTCTGCTAAAATATATTTCAATTTATAAAAAAAAATATATTAATAATTAATTATTTTGTTACATATGGATGGTTTTCAGTGCAAATTATGTTGGTGTGATGATATTTGATTTATCTAATAATAATTAAAAGTTCTGTTCAGGAAGGAGCCTTAGATGTTTCAAAAATCGCTTTTTTGAGGATTTTTTAGGGACGGGAATATATATTTAATTGAAACGAAACTTTCAGGTTTTATTGTTATATATTTCAAAATTCTTCTCAAATTTTTTCATTAAAATATATGACAAAATATGCCGGGTAAAATCATTCTGCCGATGCGCCACGAGCGTGCAGGTGTCATTTGGCGGGAAAGATGCAAGTCACAATTTCCATCCGAAAGAAAAAAAATCAAAACAAATATATATTTTCAACTAGCTGTATCAGTTCACGCTTTGCCATGATTTAGTTTAACGTTTCTACTATCTATTTAACAATTTACCTATTCAACAATTTGTCTACAAATTTACCTATCAACTTTTTAATCAAATCTACAATTATACCGGCTTACCAATTTACCTGTCAACCTATTTACCTATCAACCCGTTTCACATATCTACCAATTAACGTGTCAACGTGTTTATCAGTCTTGTTATTTGTCTATCTACCAGTTGTTTTGTCTAACATTTTACATATCCTCCAATTTACCTCACCATCGTGCATAAAGGCATTTCCTTCGATATACAAAAAAAAACTCACCATCAGCTATCCAACAAATTACCTTTTCACTAATTTACTTGTCTACCAATTCACCTGTCTAACAATTTACCGGTATACCAATTTAACCTGTCAACCAATTTACCTGCTTTCCAATTTACCTGTCATCCAAGTTACCTGTCATTTACATGTTGAACATTTTACCTGTTTAACAATTTGTTTACCTACCATTTTACCGGCCTACAAATTTACCTGTCACCACGTTCTACATGTCTGCCAATTAACCTGTCAACCTGTTTATTTGTCTACATATTCGTCTATCTACCAGTTCTCCTCTCTACCATTTCACATATCCTCCGATTTACCTGTCCACCAGTTTACCTTTATAATTTTTCTAATTAATTATTATAATAATTATTTACGCATAATAAATAAATTCAATCTCAAATTGATTCTACGTTTTAGTTAGAAAACGTTTGTATGTGAAAAAAGGGCTGTTTTTAGGTTTTTCTGGCAATTATTCGATTTTTTCTTGACGTAAGAACCATCCTTGTACTTCAACGAATATTTTAAAAAAAGAATTGACCAGATTGGTCCAGGCGTTGTAGAGTTATGCGCTTACACATTTTGCGATTCATTTTTAACTTCCCGAAGGAGAAGTTTATGTTTTCATCAAAAAATCCGATTCGCTAATTTTATGTTTTCTTGACGTTTCAAGCTATTCTGTATCGAATGAGACCAAATTTGGAAAAAGTATGTGTGTGTGTGTGTATGTGAACAGATTTGTTGCCGTAAATTGACGTTTTCTCGAAAACGGCTGGGCCGATTTGAAAAATGTAAAAGCCATTCGATGTATCTCGACGGGACGATCGGCCGAATCGTTTCTTTATAAATAAGTGAAAAATTTTGAAATTAAAACCGTTCGAAAGATATTGATTGGGACTCGTGCTGATTAGTTTTTGGTAAAGATCGACAGGGCCGTTTTTTTGTAATAAAGAGTTAAAAAAAAAATCGACGATTTTTATTATTATTTTTTTGACGGTAGATACTATAGTCTTCTAGATCATACTAAAATATTACGGCCCTACGACAATTGGTTTAACTTTGAAAATTCGTCAAAGTTTGCAAAAATTGGTATCGTTTTTTTGGCATTTGTCAAAATTAGACCTTTCATCGACGTTTTCTCAAAAACGCCTGAACCGATTTCAGAAATTTAAAAGCGATTTGATGTATTTCGATGAGGACTATTGTTTGTCAGTTTTGTGCGATAATCTGCCAAGCCGTTTCTTTGTACTTTGAAAAAAAGTGTTAAACATTTCGTCCACATTTAAGCTCATCTTAGCGAACCGATTTTAAAAAATCAGAAAACTGTTCGAAAGATATTAGTTGAGAATGGTGCTGATTAGTTTTAGGTAAAAATTTACCGAGCCGTTTTTTTGTAATTAACTGTTGAAAAATAAATTTAAGCCGATTTTTATGGATTTTTTTTAGCGATATATATATATATATATATATATATATATATATATATATATTGTATGATTCTGAATTTGATGTTGACATATGTATTAACAAAGTCTAATAATCGGGCATAACATCAATAAAAAACATGAATTTCTTTCAAAAATTTATTTTAAATCCATACGTTTCGGCTATAATCCTAGCCTTCATTCAGTGGAAAAATTAGTTGATCTTAGTGTTAATTTGGAAAACTTTAGTAATCCATGGTATTAGGATATGGTAATGCACTACACTATGTATTATAAACATTAACTTGAAATTACACAATATTTTCACAAAATACTGATTCGAAAAAATCACAAATGGATAGTGTGTTATTCGTAGACTGGTTGAAGATGTAATGTTTATAATACATAGTGTAGTGCATTACCATATCCTAATACCATGGATTACTAAAGTTTTCCAAATTAACACTAAGATCAACTAATTTTTCCACTGAATGAAGGCTAGGATTATAGCCGAAACGTATGGATTTAAAATAAATTTTTGAAAGAAATTCATGTTTTTTATTGATGTTATGCCCGATTATTAGACTTTGTTAATATATATATATATATATATATATATATATATATATATATATATATATATATATGGTCTTATAGAACTTACTGTAATATTACGGCCTTACGACAAGTAGTTTATTTTTAAAAATTTATCACAGTTTGAGAAAATGAGTAGTTTTTTGACGTTAGCTAAAATTAATATTAGACGATTCACTTGGTATAACAATATAGTACTTGGTCTTAATAAACATACTAAACCATTAAAATCCTACGGAAACTGGTTCAAATATAATCATTTTTGATTTTTGAAAAGTTGCTTTTTGAAAACTCTCCGATTAACGTGTTCGTTCGTTTTCAATTATGTGTAATAAATCCACTCATAAATTAATTTATTTTTTATTGATTAAGTCAATTATTTACACATATCGGTAAGTTCATGTAACTTGCCTCAAGGCTAAAAACCAATACCAACTAGTTAGATTATAGATAGTATAGACTCTAGTTGAACCTGAAAAATTCAGGAAAAAATAAGAAATTCACCAATTTTTTGCAGCTTGAAACAAAAAGTCATGTTTTTTGATACAAAACTTCACTTTAGATTGTTTAAAAAGTGGGTAAATTATAACCTTTTATAAGTTTTTTTAGGTTCAACTAGAGTAGAATTTAATCCTGAATACAATGAATTTTGTCTCTTTTTGATAGGACGTCTAGATTTTTCTTTCTTATCTTTGCCACCAATTAGGAAGAATCAAATAAATTCAAAGAAGAGAAATCGCGCGTCGAAGTTTTCGTTCCGCTTGTATACATCCTTGATGCTTTTTTGCTGTTTCACCTGTAATTCCGAATATAATTTGAATTTGTTTATGAAATTTCAAGGACATATTCTTGGCTAGTTTTGAAAGACATTTTTGCAATAAAAAAAAGTTTTTTCAGCCTCTAAAGCAGGCTCCACCTGCTTTAGTGGTTGAAAACTTGATCACAATGTGTCTAATATGTCTATCTATTTTAGACACATCAACCTATGCAAGTGGCATGGTTTCAGTTTGGCTAAAACATTTGCCAAGAGAGGTGAACAAGAAAACACAATGCATATTAAGAATAAATTAATAAGTAAGTATTTTTTATGTTATAATTTCATAAATTATCAAATTTAAGTTTTCTAATGTTTCTCTAATGTTCAACGTATTCTAATGTATAAAATATAAATTTTATAAATTGTTCATGAAATTATTTAATGAATTATTCAATATCAGAAATAGATTCTCTATTTGCAGGAAATTCCATTAAAAAATTATTTAACGTGGGAGACACCTACACGCTTATTATTCGGCCTAGAAACGTGGCAAAAATGCAACCGCGTCGTATTAGTTCAACGTTACAGCCGTTATGCTTTTCCCGTAAAATAGATGCTTCTGCGCGCATCCCAGATTACGTACAAGCTAATTGCGTAAACGGCGGCGCTAGGTAACATTCACGACTTTATTATGTCTTGTGGTTTACTGGGGACAAATATTTCATGATAGAGGTATTGACGAAAATATCTGCAAGCCAAATATAAGTTTTTTTTATAAACTGTTCTAATAGACATAAGAAAATGCACAACATGGTTTAATTGAGTGATTTACAGATTGGGCAAATCATTGATGATTAAACTTTTTGTGTTTTTAGCCCAATCGACTAATATAAGGTAATGTAATTGAGTGATTGACTTAATTCTTACCATTGTATCTGTATATTCAATTAATTTATCTTCAGAAACATCATTGATTTTTTTGGCTTCCTTCAATAGGTCCCTCAGAAAATTCTGTAAATTTATCAATATGATTATTTATTGTAGTGATTAATAAAATAAATACATAATTATTTATACAATTAAACAATGATATGATTATAAAAAATAGACGATGTCAATTATGAAAATCATAGAAATACTCTGATAGAAATACTGTTTATAAATATAATTAGCTGTATCCTTCTACGGTTCACTGTGGCACATTGTGATTGAAAGCAGTGTCAATTCTAAAAAATGAAGTAAATTTAAATTAACTACTTTCTCAACTTCTTCAATAATACCTATTGATTTATATGTAATTATATCACTTTCAATAGATTGGATAGTATTATTAGTACATCTTCATCCTTTGTCCACTTTTTTGTAACTGTTGTGGTTCGCTAATACTATACACATAAAAAAATCAATATCGGTATTTCAGTATTTTCGCTTTAAAGCTGGTAAAACCGGTATAAATATAATCTTATAAAATCTTAACAGAATTGAATGCTACTAACATAAGAAAATTATTTAATAACAATATAAAGGAGAAATAAAATCCTAGAAATGAAAGGTAAAATTTATACAATACAAAACATCCAGTAAATATATACATATATCCTATATATAAAATTCCTCCGTAACAATGTAAGTTTCATCAATTCTCCTAAACTATAATACTGATTTTCATGAATCTTCCTGAAGTTTGTTCGGGAAATTTTCTAGAATATTTTGATTCATACTAATATAGTTAGATTGTAGAAATAAATGGAAAAAAATACAAAAAAACGCTTATTATTGTTTGACCTTTAAAATATTTAAGGTATGGTTTGACATTAAAAACAAATGACAACTGTCATTTGCCAAACATTTCTATTCACTTATAGGCTAAGGCAATATAATAAATTTATGATTAAAAATAAAGAAAATATAATGTCTACATTATTATTGCCGAAAAGCAGCTGAGATGTGCCATAATTAAAATAATATAAGATGCAAATAATATAACATGCGTCTGATAGTCTGCGCATGCGACTGACGCGCACGGCGAATCGTGTTCTCAACGTACGCGTGGTTTGCTTTTGCTTGCAATAATTTTGTTTGCGCACTTTGCGAACAGATTCGCCGTACGAATTCGTGCAAAGGAGACGAGCCATAAGTGATTGCGCTCAAAAATATTCAATTTGCGGTCGTTTTGCCTTACTATACTAAGTCACAATACAAAAAAAATTACCAATTCAAAAAATTATTTAGAAGTTTCATTGTGTCAAAAATTCATATGGTTGGCATTTTGTACGGGAAATTTACTCAATGGACCGCTTTGGGTCTGAACTTGTTTTTACTGTTTTCCAATTCTTTTGGAATTTTGGAATTAGGCTCATCTTACTCTCAAGTTCAACCCGGGGGGATGCCATTTTCAGTGATGTAATAACGTTGGGTGTGGATAAAAGAACTAATTATCAGAGAAAAATGTTTAATAATGTTTTTCAAAAAAGCAAATACTTTTCAAGTTACTGGCTACTAAAAATTTGTTTCTTTTTTGCGTATTTCATCGTGTTTTGCTAATATCTTACACATTTTAACGAAAATTATGCAATGAACAAAATTATATCAATAAAAATCCTAATAAATCGCTATTCTACAGTGTTCTAGGAACAATATTGTGTTAATTATGAAAATGGGTTTTTATAGTTCTCCAAATAAGCTTTAAAAGAAGTACTTCTGCGTGTAAAATGAGTGAGCTATCATGCAAAAGACGCATACAATGTTTTTTTTTCCTTCTAAATCAAATAGTTTATGAGTGCCATTTCTACCAAAATTAAAAATAATTGTTTTTCATCTAGAATTAACTTGGTTTGAGAGATCTTGAGGGATTCTAGAAAATACCATAACATTAGTACAAACGATTTTCAAATAACTCATGATTTCATAAAAAAATCCATTTAAAAAACCAATTTCTCATTATAATATCTCTGAAAGAATACGTATAAAAATATATATATGAAAATTCAAGGTATTTTTCAGACTAATTATTGCTTGTAATTATTTTTTTGTTACACAAATATTGATAGAGTTCTAATTGTTTAAAGAGTGCGCAGCTGTCCAACCGGAGTGTCTTTCGAGCCCTTTAACCCTTTGCCATTTCAAAATAAGAGAAGTTACGGTAAAATTTATGATAGAGAAAGTTGTAGCTCATTTAATCTTCTTTAAAATAGTAAATTACAAGTTATGCAGTCAAAATCAGATTTAAAAGAGTTATAATCCAATTAATGCGGGGGGGGGGTGACGAAATGCCAATTGTTTGCACTTCTGAACTTTAGATTAGGATTAGCTGGGCATACGCTTTTTTCCTCTCTATTTACTGCAATAATTTTGTTGATAGTAGGTTGAATAGAGCACACGTGAACAAAATTTGACAAATTAATTCACTTCAAATATGAACTTAAGTAATAATGTATATTGAATTATCAGTGTGAAAAATGCAATTTAGATATTAAAATACTAAAATCCAGTTAAAATATGGTACGAAATTATAAAAATTGTAGGCAACATTGTTGAAGCAATTATTTTGGGTAGAAAAATCCAAGGTGATATTGTACCTTAACCGCATGCTATATATTAATTCTTTCTGGATTTGTTATACTTTTTAAAAGATTTCAATTTTCAACACTTGTATCTATGCTATGACAATAAATACATGGTGATAAATTTGGAAAATCAATGTTTTAGCCGTGAATAAACAAAAAATCATTTATTTAAACATCCACATCTACAGGTATGTCTAAAAATATTGTAAAACCCTTAAATTCAATAAAATAAATTGAGCTATTGGAAATAAATTTGTTCTATAAATCGCAGTGTATAATTTTTAATATATAATTTTATTGAACATATTTTAATATTTGTTGAAGGGATAATTTTCTTTGATTTTTGTTTCCGCGATTATTGTCGAGCAAATTCAGTAAATCATTTGATATCAAAATTGAATATCACATTAGTTTCTTTGTAAAGTCTGGAGTTATAAATAAACTCGCATTATCATCGTGTTAATATCATGACACTTACTGTTTCATTTCAAATTATATTAATTAATACAGAAACACACGTATTCCTATAACCAGCGACATATTTCTATTACTGGAAACGTATCTCTTCTATACCTATTTGCATGGAACTATTCGTTTATTATGTTTACTAGGCGATGAACCTCTTCTATGGTTGAGTGTTGTTCTCTAAAGCCGAATTGGTGATTTTGAATTAGGTTTTGATTAAACAATTCTGACTTAATGCGTTGGAGTAATAGTTTTTCAAATATTTTCGAAATACAAAGAAGTAGGCTTCTTGCTCTATAGGAAGACAATATATAAGGATCTTTCTCAGGTTTAGGTATTTTAACTACTTCATTTTTGGATTGATATGAATTTTTTATAACAAAAGATTTGGAATGTTGGTTGTCAAACGGATTCAAATTTCAATCAGGTGGATTTCAATAAGGGACGTCGCAACGTGAGGATGGGTATGCTTGTATATATATACATACATATATTATTTAAACTTTAATATATATATATATATATATATATATATATATCTTATATATAAAGTTCTTCTGTAAAATCTTCTGTAAAAGTTTTAAGTTGCAATAAATCATAAAATTATAGTAATATTGTAGAAATAAATGAGAAAACTTGTAAAATACAACATATCATTGTTTAACATCGAAAACCACAGTTTGATTGTAGCAGCCGAGCGATTCACATCGAATAAATAATCGTAAATAATTACATAATGTCTTCCGAGTCGGATGGTCAGTGCGGCCGACCACCTGACCCAAACTTTTTACCTGCCGCTCTGCGATTGGAAAATCAAGAGCAGATGCAAAGAACACTTGTTTAAATAGATCGAGTGACATGGATTTTTGTGATACTGAAAGTGTAATTAGAAAATGAATCAGTTAGTAGTTGTGATTTGAATATTAAGAACAGTGTTAATGTTAATTATAAGTATAATATCAACGATGTAAGTGCAGATAATAATAAAAGGGAAACGTTAGAACAAAAGGAAAACAAAGGGGAAAACAGTAATTTAGCGTCAAATAATAGTATCACTACTATTTGACATTAACAATGGAAATAACAAAAGATCTAATAAGTGACGACAACAATATAAACGATCAAAATAAATCAGATAAAAGAGTTAATCCATTAAATAATTTGATACGTTTTGAAGGTTGCGATATGGGCCCTTACACTAAATTTGTTGAATCCAAGGACAAAAATATAGGCCGACTGCACCCGATGGCCTTGGGAAAAATCATACATAATGCAGGGGCATATTTCAAATTTGGTTTTACAGAAGTTTCGGTTATAGGAAAACATAAAGTGAAGATGGAATTTAAAAGCGCCAGGGTGGCGAACAAAATTCTAGATGACAAAATTTTAGAAAAAAATAATCTGAAGGCATACATCCCGAAATACCTACTTGCAAGGCATGGCATAATATTTGATGTGGATGCCAATCTCTCAGAACAAGAAATTATAAACGCCATTGAAACAGACATTCCGATTATAGACGTGGTATGTTTAAGACCGAAAAATAATAATACAATAAATTACTCATCACAATGTGTCAAATTAACGTCTAGATGCACAAGTTTACCGAATAAGGTAGCTATACATTCGGTAAAATGTGAGGTTCGACAGTTTGTGCAGAAAGTGGTCCAATGCTACAAATGCTGTCGGTTCAATCACGTTAAGGACCAATGTAGAGGAAAAGAGAAATGTATGAAATGTTCCGGAGAACATAATGCAAAAATATGTATAGCATCCAAATTTCTATGTGCGTTGTGCAATGGGGATCACCCTGCAAATGATAAAGAATGCACGGTATTTATTAAAAATAAAAAAATTAAAGAGATTATGGCTTGGCAGAATCTAGCATACCATGAAGCCAGAAATATATTGTATAAAGACAGCTATGCAAGCAAGTCAAAAGCCGGATTCAGTTTCACGGGCAAAGATAAAGAATTTCCA